CTCCAAAATTGCTGTTTCTGCAGTGCAGCTACCGGAGGTTTGTTTAGTTACAAGATGTAAACTGAGATAGAAGATCTTGGTTAATAATATTAATATTAATATAACAATATGGTTAGGTGTTGGCCGCTGCTCTGGTTGCAATTCCCAAAGGGATAACAAACCATTTGAATGAAAATCTTGGAAAGATCCCAAATCATTGTTGATCCACTGTTTAAGTCAGTAAGCCCTGGCAGATTGTGAAGCTTCAAAAACAAACTGCATTAGCAATATAATCATTATTATAAATAAATGTGTGTGTGTTGTGTGCCTTCAAGGTATTTCTGACTTATGGCGACCCTAGGGAGATGTTTCCTTGGCAATCATGGGTTTTTCTTGGCAAGATTTGTTCAGAGGAGATTTGCCCTTGCCTTCCCCTGAGGCTGAGAGAGTGTGACTTGTCCAAGGTCACCCATGGCTGAGCTGGGATTCAAACCCTGGTCTCCAAGGATGTAGTCCAACGCTTAAAACCACTACGCCTTGCCAGCTTTATTTCAGTCACTAAATCCTGGCAGATTGTGAAACTGAACAAAAATAGACTATTAATAATATAATAATGACTGCAGTTATGACAATAATATGAATAATACGAATAATATAACAATCAGGACTAATATTAATAATATCACAATCAGAAGTAATATTATTGCCATACACTATGTTATAAACATCACAGTAATTCATAATATTAATAGTATTTATGGTTTTATTGCCTACCCAATGTTACTAACTAGAGTTCTGCATCATCAGTCATTCAGATTCTATCCAAGACTTAATAATATGTATTAATTATTATTGAATGTTCATCTTAGTACTACAATTAGCACCCCCACATTTGCGGCTTTGATGATTCACAGATTTAACTGATAGGAATTCTCTCTAGGAATCTCTAAGTCCTCCAGTGTGACTTTGCTGGACTTTAACCATAGAGTCACTCTGGAAGACCTAGAAATTCCAGGAGAAAACACTTCTCTAGGCATTTTAAAGTCCTCCAGTGTGACTCTATGGTCATGTTCTGGCTGATGTTGACCATAGAGTTCTGGGGAGGACTCAAATATTCCTAGAAGGGTATTCTCTCAGGTTTAAAAAAAGAGTTTTTGTTAAAAAAAATCCATTTTCAGGGGGTCCTGTGCCTCTAACCCGTGCAAATATGGAGGGCCCACTGTATCACTATTGCCATCATCATATCTGGAATATTCTTGAGGCTTCGTGTTGGCATAACCAGAGCTTTTTTTCCAATACACAGTTGTGGTCCCATGGAATCCTGGGAATGGTACTTTCATGAGACAATGGCGGAGAATCCTAAATGCCCTTCCTAAACTACAAATCTCAGGATCCCCCCAAAGTACTTTTTTCCTGCTTCATAAAAGGAAGTCTCCAGTGTGCTCCACTAGCATTTACAGCCCCAAACTCAGCCATTTTCCTGTCTAATTTGAAACTGAAGAAGATGGATTATTCCCGCATTCCACTATCACGGCTCCCAGTTACTTCAATATTGGATAAAAACATTTCTCTACTCATTCTCTAGGAATCCTCCAGTGTGATCCTATGATCATGTTCTGGCGGATGTTGACCATTGAGTTTCCACTATCAGGAGTCCACCTCCCATCATCCCTGAGAGAAAGAGACATGCATATACCTTGCAGTATATTTCATATATATAAACCAGGATACCTGTGGCCAAGCAACATCGGAGTTTGCTCAAGATGGTCAAAACCATTAATGAGGAAGAATGCAAAAGCAAAGAGAGACTGCAGCAGTTTGCTTTTGCCTGAGCCTCCAGGGAAGGACAAGAATCTAACCCTCTTCTCTCCCCCTGCTGAATTGAATACAAACTACATATGTGCTTTGAGCTCACTTTGCAGCAATTGAAGTAGGCTGAGGACAACGCGGGAGGAAGAGAGAGAAACCGGGACCTTTTAAAAGCTGCTGAGAAAGTGGGACAGTAGAGGATTCATCATGAATGTCCCTGCCAAATTGGGATTGGACTAGGTGGCCTTTAAGGAGCCTTCCAATGCTAAGATTCTATGAAATTCAGTCAGGATCCAAAATTAATTCTAGATTTAGAAGACGCAAAAGTTTATTGCAGCTTTTATTTTCTTCAGTTCACTGGAATATCTTTTTCTTCCTTAACCTTCCCTGTTTGCACTTACTTGGCCATGGAAACCCACTGGGTCACACTCTCTCAGCCCCAGAAAATCCCATGATAGTGTCACATCACGGTTGAAGGTATGGAACAACACCTTAGGAGTGAAGGCATAAAACAACAACAATGTAATCTTGAAGGGATGGTAATGAGTTCTATTTATATATTATATAAATGATATTTTTTCAGGGTTTTAATACATTCTTGTCCTTTGTGCTGGTAAACACTGCACATTTTCCCCCCATATCTGCACACAACAATCTTATTAAGTCTGCTCTCTTTGTTTTGAGGCAGAAGATGATTTCTGAAGAAACGTGCACAAGTCTCATTAACATGTCTTTGCAACGAGACTCTATTTTTGCACTGTTTCGCATTCTTTCCCGCCTGTGTTTGAGCAAAACATTGCTAAAAAATAATTCCATATATGTGCACACAGAACAATCTCATTAAAGCTGTTCTTTTTCAGGAAGATGAATACTTTGAACATGCACAACCCTTGTTACTGTGCGTTTGCACTGATATTCAATTTGTGCAGTGTTTTCACAACACATCCCTGCATGTTGGCAAAGCACTGCACAAAAAGAATCTTTGAGAGTGTTTGTTGTGGTTGGCAAGATGTTTTCAGACGTCGTTTGCCATTGCCTTCTCCTGAGGCTGAGAGAATGTGACTTGCCCAAGGTCAACCAGTGGGTTTCCATGGCCAAGCCAGGAATCAAACCCTGGTCTCTAGGGTCACAATCGAATGCTCAAACCACTACGCCAAGCTGGCTCTATACACACTCAGTATACACACAACAATGTTATTATTGTATTTGGGCCAGTCACACTCTCTCAGCCTCAGGAAGACAAAGGCAAACCTTCTTTGAACTTATCTTGCTAAGAAAACCCCATGATAGGTTTTCCTTTCGGTCACCATAAGCTGGAAATGACTTGAAGGCACACAACAACAACAAAAACATATTTAGTGTATATTGAGTGTATACAGACAACAATATAATTTTATTTATTTATTGATTGATTGATTGATTAATTGATTGCTTTCACATCTATGTCACCTTTCTCTCTAAAAAAAAAAGGGGACCCAAAGTGGCTCATAAGATACTTAAGATGACCATTTTTTAAAATTATTGTTTTGGAGTAGGAGCAACATTTTATCCAGAAATGTGCTTAAGCCCCATTCATAGGAGGATGGAGAAATGAAAGTGGCTGCTAAGCCTAGACACTTTTTACAACATTGGAAAATTCCCCCGGGGGAGAAAAATATGAGAAGAATTAGAGAGGAACATCGATTGCATTTTAGGAACAAATTCATACAAAATTTGGCATATTTAACATCCAGGGTTTTTCCCCCCGAATGGGGCATATTTTGCATGTTACCCAGACAATTGGACAAGAGAGAAGATCTGGTCCAGTTTAGCCTGGTGAGTTTTTGCAAAGAAAGGACAGTCCTCCTCTTGTTAGATGAGACTGTTAATTAGAATGCAAAGGATGAAACGAGAGGCATGAAAGAAAGGCCAGTTTGTAATGTGGGCTGCTATGGGTGGCTTTATTTGAATATGTAAATGACAGCCTTTCCTTTTTATTTCTTTTGCACTGAAAAAAAAGGAAGATAGCGTGGGAGAACCCGGGTAGACAGACTCTCACGCATGATGGGGTGTGTGGCACCGTTTTGGAGAGCGGGCAAGACATCTGCGGGCAGCGTCTTATTGATTTTGAACCGCAAGAGGTTGGCATGACTGTGCGCATATTATACCAGTTGCAAAAAGAGCCAGTGGCAAAACCCAGTTGCTTTCGAAGTCCCTTCAAATGCAGGATCAGACCCAAATCCTGTCTCCTATAGATGAAAATGTGGGCACGCAATACCTGACTGTGATGAAGGTGGCCAAAATTATGAATGAAAGAGAGCAGATAAGCTAAAAGAGGCCGCTGCGGTTTGCTTTTGCCTTGGCTTACTGGGAATGAGAAGTCAGTTCTCCTGTTCTTTTTCTTGGAGCTGATCCTCCCAAATCTGGAGAAAGCGCACCTTTGCCTCCCGCCTAGAGAGGAGATCTGTCCATCCTAAATCTGCTCCATCTTCTACTGGACAACCCTTTAGATATAAAGTCAAAGGCTTTCATGACCAGCATCCATAGTATTTTGTGGGGTTTTCGGGCTGTGTGGCCATGTTCTAGAAGAGTTTCTTTCTGACGTTTCACCAGCATCTGTGGCTGGCATCTTCAGAGAATGCCAGCCACAGATGCTGGCGAAACATCAGAAAGAAACTCTTCTAGAACATGGCCACACAGCCCGAAAAACCCACAAAAAACTAACCTTTTAGATGTTTGGAGAAGACCGTAATATCTCCTATTAAGTCAGGGATGGGCAAAGTACTGCCATGGGTCCATATGGGTTCCCAAGGCTATTTTAATGGGCCTTGATCCCTCCAGACAAACCAGACTGTTCTTTTTTTGGCATGGGGGGAAGAAAAAGGTAAATTAGGAGAACCTTTCCCTTTTTAAATCAGGATTGGGCTTTTATGGGGACGCAGGGGCCAATCTTCTCTCCTCCAAACCTTAGACGCCTATGGAAAAATACCTGTGGATTTTTTTTTCCAGAGTTGTTCTCAAAAATGGCTACTGGAAGTGACACAAAGGCACAAAGATAAGGATTTGTTCTTCTTGTTGTTGTTGTGTGCCTTCAAGTAATTTCTGACTTATGGCAACCCGAAGGCGATCCTATCACAGGGTATTCCTGGCAGGTTTCTTCAAAGGGGGGTTGCCACTGGCATCCTCTGAAGCTGAGAGAGTGTAACTCGCTCAAGGTCACCCTTGGGTTTCCATGGCCCAGCCTGGATTCGAACCCTGGTCTCCAGAGTCTTAGTCCAATGCTCAAACCACTATACCCCACTGGACTAATATCCTTGCATTCTTTTGACCCTCAAAAATTGGTGCCCCCATGTGGCCCATGGTCTGCATTTTGCCCATCTTTGTGTTAGAGCAGGCTGAGAAATCTGATTTTGCCTCACTTACCATGAAATTCCACTGATCTTACAGACAAGTGGCCGTCTGAATTATCCGAGTCATTCCTGCCCTTGAGATACAAAGCAGGACCAATTCTTTGGATGCAATCCATTTCTCAGATGCTGGATGCTGGTGGTGCTATTAATCCATTTGGCTTGACTTTGGAAGAAAAAGTAGTGTTCCCAAAATCAGACTCTTAGAAGCTACTCTTCCATCATGAGCAGCCAAAGTTCACTTCAGTGAAACTCTGAGATGAAATAAAATAAAATAAAATAAAAATAATTATATAGTCTGGATCCATTCCCCCC